TAAATTTGAATCCGAATTTTTATTTATTATGTTAGGCCTACCGTCTACACTAGTCCGGGCGAATCCGGAACAATTCTTCACCGAAAACGAGTTTTTTCCAATACGGTCTCCAGAGTGGAACAATTTGAAAACGCCGGCTAGCCGTATTAGTGTGAACGGAGACCATTTCGTATCCGAATTTTTTCGAATACGATGACGTCAAGATTGTCATGGGAACATGGCGGGAAGGCTAAAAATTCACCGCGGGCTCAATTACTGCTTCGATGTGCATGCTCAGATGTGCGATGAAGCGTTTTTGCCGCCTCTGATCGGACTAGTGTTGACGCGAAACATTTTATCCGTTTCATGTGTGGACCGGAATACTTTTTTTTCGGTTTCGGTGTGAAAGTTGCGGATTCAAATTTATCCGGCATAGTGTGGACGAGGCCTTAGCCTTTACGTTCAAAATGCATGAAGTATGGTCCAGTATAGTATATTACTGTCGATGGATGGTTGGATGGAATTGAGTGGATGGTTTGATGGATTGATGGATGGAATTGGATGGATGGATGGATGCATGGATATTACCTGTTATGTAACACCTCGTTCAAGCTGAGATCCTGTGTCCCTGTCTTGGTAGGGTAATTGGTCTGATTTTTTCAGATATACTTGCCGAACCGCTGAGCTTCAGAAGAGCAATGTCGTTTCTCTTGTGTCGATTTTGATACAGTGAATGGATATATATATTGGAGACTCGAAGAGTTTGTTGAACGTTCGAAACGCCTGTTCTATGGTGCGCTCCTGAAAGAGTAAAAAATAAAATCCCTTTTATTTAAGTGTCTAGTCGTTCTAGCGCTTTCGCACTAATTGGGGACACTTTTCACTCACACACACTACCACTAAATTCAATATTCTATGCACACAACGTTCAACTCACATGTTGATTTTTACGGAGGAAGGAAACCGGAGAACCCGGAGAAAACCCTCTTAGCATAGGAGAGAACAACACATGAAACAAACTCGATTCAAATGTGGCGACCGCAGGGCTCGAACCAGCGACTCGACCCGTTGGACTCACAGCGGTGAAAGACGACGCGTTAGCCGCGAACGCCACCCACGCTAAGAAATTTTAATTCTGTTGCAAAGGCTTGACCCTGTTACTGGTATCGCTCCACCTTTATATTCATGTAAATGGCGTTATCAATCGTAATGGAGTCATCTAGCCGCGACCGTGATGTTCCTAGTATTATAATCTTCCCACTCGTGACATCACCCTAAACCAGCGACAATTAACACCACTACCAAAAACAATGCAACTAAAAAATTATAACTAACCACAATGATAACCAATAACCCCAACAACAATTATCACTATTAACTTACCAACAATTACAGTGTATCTGGGAATCATGAAGGTACTGACACAGTGAGCAGCAGTTACTACCCAATTCTGTGCAATCAGCGATCCTCCACATATATGTCTTCCACTCCTGCGAAGAGAGATCTGCCATGGCCATTCATGTTGGTCAGCGTTTTGTCCATTGACAACACGCACTTCCAATGGAGCAGGCTCCCTATCGTCCTCAAAAACTACATACAGATGTATGCAGACGTAAATAAGTATATATATAGAGAGAGAAAATAGAATATAGAGTTAGTTAATAAGAATAAAAGGGAAAAAAGGACTCCATTATAGAGAAGTTGCACAATCACGTGATGACCGCCATGATAAGAGGAAGGAACAATTGAATCTAGACTAATTTGATTTAAATGAGAATTAATTCAGTTTCCCTAGGAAGAGACTCCATTTTTGTGCCTTCTGTAATGACTGCATTAAAAGCCTCTACTAAATAAACAATTAAAGTAAGGCTAGAAATGGAAGTCAAGGGATTGCATGCATCGTTTCACAGATCACAAAATCATCATTCTCTACTTTCACATCCCCATAATGCCTTGCGTCTTTGGTGGGTAACCAATCAAAAAACTGTCCCAAATTGAAAGGTTACTTAATTGAATTTATACTATACTTGCTTTTATCTGTACAATACTGATTATCAGTTTATTCCAAGTTATTTTTGCGTGTACAGATTATCAAGAGTTTTGGTCTTAAAGAAAATGTATTGACTTACGAAAAAATGTTTAAAATCTACCTTAAAAGTCTTCAAGCTTGTATCTTTTTCTGTTTTTTACTTCTTCATTTTATTTTTGGATACCAAACAAGGTATTGTCAACATTGTCTGATCAACCTTCAGCAAAATAAGTGGGTTTTTGCCCTCTGGTTACCCCCCAAAGACGCAAAGTATTATGGGAATGTGAAAGTAGAGAATACTTTCGTTTTGCTATAGTCGGCTTTTGGAACATCGTTTTTAGAACAAAAAATATTTTAAAGGATATTTTTTACGTTAGTCTTCATAATAAATTCAGTATCAAAGTCTAAACAATAATAATAAAGCCACTATTAAAATTGCCCTAGGACGGTTGAATTGCTCGACATGAAGTTTGTTTCATTATCAAAAGTCTTTTCAAAAGTGGCGTTTTGAACTTTTTCAGGTTCAGCAGTTCTTTTCAACGAAAGCGGAAAATATTAGTCTCAGGAACGCATGGTTGATTACGGGCACAGATAAAAAAAGATACTTCTGCAGTATTAAAAGAGGGAAAAAAATGCCTGTGAGAACATAATATTTTATGATATTTTATTCATATAACACCCTTTCTATGCATACACTCAATAGGCCCTTTGCAGCTCAGTAATCACGTGCTGATTAATTCACTGAGAGCAAATGAATGAACATCTTGATTCCCATGGGTGAAATATACTGGTGAGCAAACAAACTTTCTACAACCTTATTTCGAGAGATCGCAATAAAACTTCATTTTGTAACATACATATATTATATATATATTTCGCTCTACGTAAAGTATATATATATATGTATGTATGTATGTATGTATATACATTGAAAAACTAACTACGAGTGAAAATATAAAATAATGTGCAAGCAACACTCAGTAACTGAAAGTCAAAGTAAAAAGATTTTGTTCTGGACATGCAACAAAGGTTTTTTTACCTTCTAGAGCTTCATTCCCGTTATGAGCTTGAGAATACGCTGCTAAAGAGCACAAAATCTGTTGACATTAAGGAACTATAAATTAAAATTCAGGTAAATAAAACGTTCGTTTGCAATTCCTTTACCCAGTGATTATCACAAACTATGGTTATTTAGTAAACGAGTGTAGTATACAGATTAATAACTTAAATTCGGGTATCGTTTTCACTCCTGTTTGTGCAAACAAACTCATGTATACGAACAACCGTGTGATTTTTTTTCTTTTTTATTCAAATTGATGTAATTTGTCAATTTGTAAATGTTTAAATGACTTGGAAATATCATCTACACTTGTTGGCTGAAAAGATAAAAGTTAACGATAAAAGTTTGTTGTGCAAACAAACTTCTATACGAACAACCGTGTGATTTGTTTCTTTTTCTTTTCTTTTCTTTTTTCATTTAAATTGATGTAATTTTTTGTCCATTGGTAAATGTTTAAATGACTTGGAAATATCATCTGCACTTGTTAGCTGAAAGAGATCGAATGCGAATCGAGAAATAGAACCCAAGATCTTGTTTATTGGTGTCGTTATTTCAAAAGCAAATATGCAAATGTGCCCCAGGGTCATACATGGACTGTATAGTGGCTTCCAGAGGCGTCTTCCAATGCATTAATCTCGGCCCCGTTGAGCTGCGCCACTGCTGTACTTTGCGGTGATGATTAGCGATGACAAATGATAATTCAAATACCTTTTTACCTTTTCCTTACAATGTTTCGTAAAATATCTGTACAATGTTATCTATCATTTATCAGTAGAATTCATTAAATTATTTTTAATAGATTGATAAGGTTTAATATTTGATACCCTTGACTCGAGTTTTGGTGGGTTTTTATTGGACTACGGTTTCCATCCAACATTTTCATCTATTTACTCACCAAAACTGCAACTTTCATAGTCATCATGTAAAGGCAACTTTACACGTCCAAGCTAAGGCTTCTCTTTAAAGTGCCGGACAAACATATTTTGATAAGTTTTAAGTTCCCTTTTCCGTTATTGTAATGTGCCTGCAATTATCAATGATATCATGCATTGCATGGCTGATTTTTCCTTTTAATCAACGACTTCCTTCATGGGATCTGGAAATATTGATATATTTAGAAACAATTAAAATCAAACTAAATAGTTCTGTCATAGACTAGAACTGACTTCTAAATTTTAACTTTCAAAATATATAAATTTATTTATTTATCATTTATAACTGCTTCTCAACCAATTATACCGAGAGCACTATGGTAGCATAAAAATTGAACGAGGCGGAGCGTGTACGGAGGATTGAGCAAAAAATAAAGAACTGAACTAATTGATCTCTCAACTACAAGACTTCTCGACTTCGCTGTAGTGAGCTGGACGGTGGAAGGGCGAATGTTGTAGTGAGCCAAACGTGAGCTCAAACAAATACGCTATGAACTTTTTATGGAAAGAGAATCAAAAGCTATATTTTACCTTTAAATGTACAGAAAGGTAGACCAGTTAGCATTCTTTTTAGTTTTATCTGAATGCTTGCAATTTTCATCGAATTTTCACCAGTTTGACGTCATCAGCGTGCTCCATACGAGTGCTCTATACATTTTTTCTTCATAGTTCCAGAGCCAATCAGAGCGCGCGTTATAGCTTAGTTATTTTATAATATTTGTCCCTATTAAGAAAAGTATTTGTTGACCTACGTTATTAAATATGCCATACATGAAGTACCATTACATGCAAACGTCCGAAACAAAACGAAAATGGGAGCCAATCTGTTGTCCAAAGCCTTTTCAAAGCATTTGAGTAGACAGGAAAAGTTACACTACACGATTTCAGGAAATTAGCATAACAATAGCCTTGAAAACAATGCACAGATAGACTAGGTTTTTTCCCACTTCAAATCAGCGTGCCAGTGCGTGGCTGTGGCTACCATAGGTATATCATGACGTAATGGTAAGGTACGTCACGTGATAAGCACATGGCATGTGAGAAAAGGGTAGCGGTCAAGCACATGGAGTGCGAGAAAGCTTGTTGTTTTCTGTGTTTATTGGTAGCTAGAATTCCCAAATAGTTCGGTAAGTTTATATCGTTGGTAATTTATAGCATTTGTAAGCAACTGATTTAGGAACTTTATCGTTTATGTAGAAAACCGCCATTCACCAACGCAACGTATGAACACAGTGGTTCGTTGATTGTACAAAGTTATGCAATAAAGTTTGGTAAGATGAACAAGCAGGCGCGTTTCGTCTAATGATTTCCGTAGCTACCACCCGCTCCTGGGGTCAGGAGTAACAGTGGCAGAGTGCAAGAGATTAGCTGTAGATATGGTCTGGGGGCCGGCTAGTCTCTCCCTGATGCTTCGGCTAGAACACTATCCTGCGTAATCCGTACACCCAAGGGCAGAGGGACTTAATCGCCGTCATGTCCGAAGTCCATACGATGACCCAGCGGATGTCTTGGGGTATGGCATGAAGGCACTAGTTTCTTTTTCTTCTGTATCTTGGAATTAATTATCTAGCTGATTAAAGTTTATGGACCGTACTTAAATAGTGTTTTTTTTCTTTTTCTTCTTCTTCTTCGTTTCCTCTAACCTTAGATGTATATTTTTAAAAATTATTTATTTATTTACAATTTGTTTTATAAACGACTTTCATTAATTTATGAAATTGAGGATCCTTATGATTTCTTTAGAAAGGATGCTCTACTTTTCGTTCACCATTCGGTTTATTGCTTAAACTTAGAAAGGTTAAAAGCGATCGTCTAAAATTCGTCGTCCTATCTTAATTTATTGTTTATGTTTTGTCAAAATCAAACTTCTTTGAGGTGCCGGCATAATATTTTAAACCGGTGACAGGAAGCTGGGCACTTTTAAAAATTACAATAGATTTTATAATAATCTTTACGATTTCCTTGTTTCCACTTGGTACAACAACATATAAATGTGCCTTGCTAAGTGGGAAACATGAAGTACAGTTTTGGTATACAGAAGATATAGTCATCAAACTGGAAATAAATCGCTTTTATTCTAGCGCTTCCGCACTAATTCGAGACACTTTTCGCTCACACGCACTACCACTACATTCGATATTCTATGCACACAACGCTCAGCTCACATGCTGATTTTTAAAAGTGACAAGATACTGGGCAAACATACTGTAATCGCTATTACTAAACTCTCCAATGCAAAACAATAAAAATAAAGAAATATTGTAAATATATAAACATTAATTGGTTTGGAATACATCCGCTGTATCGCCATAATTTGCCGCCACAACAAACTATGTTTTGTTGGACGTCAATGAGCATGACATTCGTCCATCAAATTCCATATTCTTCCATTTATATGTATATATATTCTCTCAAAACGTTGTGTTTTCCAACCGTAGTATGGAAACGCTTGATGACTAATTGACGTCCACGTACACCAAAACCTACTCATTTGTGAAAATGATTCCGCGCATGTTATTGGGAATAACTTCAAAGGACTGTAGTTTCACTTCGTTGAAATGATTGTGCATATCTGCACGAATTCATAGTAAAAATACTTTGGATATTGCAGTTGTTTCCAAAGCTCCTGTCTCTAGAAGTATTTTGGTAGCAAAGCGATATTAGGCACTGGATCGCCCAGTGAACCAGAAAAGGGAAAAAATAGATAGATAGATATGTATGTATGTATATGTATGTTTACCTGGTTTGGAAAAAAATATAATTATATGTATACATACTTCCGATTTCAAAAATGGTGACATTTATCGGATATATATGGCGCATTGTTTTATATAAATTTGGTACGACAAATCTTCACGATCAATACTCCATTTTACAGTTCTGTTCAGTGACCGCAAATTTAGTTCCAAGCTGAGGATGGAGTTGCCGCCACGATAAAAAGTATAGTTTTGTTATGTGCGGAAACTGCATCCTCGACTTGAAACTATGTATTCTTGACCACTGAACGGAACTGTAAAATGAAGTATTGCGAGAACCTTGATAATCTCTCTTTTTACAGTAAATAGAGTAGTTAGACAATACAAAATCATTGAGGTTTCAAGAGCCGACTTTAATTCCCCCATGAGAGTAGAAGAAATAAGGTTATGTAACTGTTTTACTTACTGATCTTGAACAAAGGCAATCTCATTCCACAATAAAATAATTATTCCCTTCTTCTGGGGCGTAAGGACTTATATGAGTATATTTAATCAGTCATTGTTGTAGTGTAACGCTCAACGTATATACTAATCCAGGCAAGACAAAAGAAAAATGGGGA